CAAAGGAAAATCTGGTATAAAAAGTGAGTAGGTATGAAGATGGCTGCTTATTCTCTTGGTTTAGCCTATTTAAGAATGTCTTCCAATCCACTTTTACTTCGAAATGAAATGTCTGATCACATTTATATATATATATATATATCTTCTTGTATCAGTGCAGAATGGAAAAAGAGGACATTATTATTTATTATATAAATATATTTTTTTTTATTTTGAAGGAGGCTAGAGAATAAGTGGACATCTGTATACTTACTTACTTCTAATGCCTAATTTTCTTATATGAGATTTATTCACACAATTTAGTTTAAGGTGATGAAGGATTGGTAGAACAATTTTCCCACAATGCTGTGAGTAGAGCTGACGTTTCCATTCAATTTCACATAGGCATGCTCTCCCAAAAGTTGTTCTCATCCAGCGTGAAATTCAATGGAAACGTCGTGGGAAAATTATTCTACCAGTCCTTCATCACCTTAAACGAATTTGGGTGAATACATCTCATATTACTGAATTACTGGTAGTCTCTAAGCGACACTTAAATGCGAAAAATAATTTTTTTATATATAAATATAAATATAGATATATATAAAAACATATATATATTGTTATACAAAAATACAATAAATGATACTATCGTATAAGTAAACGAGTAATAATGTTGAAGACGAATGGACATAAATTACAGTATTCTTCTCTCTTCACAACCTATTGATAGTCTCGAAATCTACTCACTACGACTGCAAGTAATGTAGCCTTGAAGGTGGCGTCTGCCTTTGGCCACTTGACGCCTTGAACGAACTAGAAGGACACTATTACGCTTCAGGATCCCTTGGAGCTTGCAAAACATACCAACTGATGATATTTTTGGCAGTTCTTAGCCAAAGGGACTGCGCAAATCTGCGGGGCTATTCGAAAGCGCCTTCAAGGAGGCTCGTTTGAGACAATCGATCTACGGTCTTCTTCTCAAAGCTCATCCTCGCGCCTTCCACACCGTCATGAGTACACATGCTCACAATCTATCCCACATCAGGTGACATGTTATTGGGGCCTTTCCAAAAACAGGATGACACGATCGTCTTGAAGACAAAGAGATTGTAAAGATGAAAGACAGAGTTTAGTGGATAATGTGTAGTTTGCATGATCTAAATGAATAGACGCCACCATACCACATGCTAGAAAAGCAAGATAAATGCGAAAATTAATAATGTAGGTATTGGAGGGGGGGATTGGCAACAGATAGTTACGAAGGGTGCTGTACAGGAGACGAAGACGGGAACAGAGACAGACACAGTCTCGGATGGCCTGTGCCCGCAAAGACCACAGCCGGAGATCAGCAAGTTTTAAGGAGAAAAAGAGCAAAGAGGAATAGACAAAAAACCATAGCAACGCTTGATTCCTGCTTCCAAGCGATGCATTTGGTGGGCCTCATGTCGGCCGATCGGCATGTCAAGAGACCGCGATTGATGGCCTCACTTGGGCGCATCTTTCGTCGTCTTGCCAGCTGTACCGAGACCCAGTGACTGCGTGAACTGGTGCCCCACCTCGGCGGCGCCCAGCATCGAGTAGTACTGCATCACGAGTTGTCGACCCACAATCTCCTCGCAATAGGGCGCCGCCTGACGACCACAGGACGACTCGACCTCTTGTTGTTCCTGTTCCTGTTGGTGCTGATGCTGTTGCAGACTACTCATCAGTTTGGGCAGTAGTAGCATCATGTTGGGCGGCGGGATGAAATTGTGAAAAAGAGCAGAATTCACCCAGGCCTGAGGATCGCCGGGACCGAGTCGCCGGGCAGATGAGTCTGTATCGGCGCTGGTGGCCGGCAAATGGAGCGACGCTTGACACGCCTCGACCGTCTGTCGGATCGGGTTGTCGGAGATGTCGGGTCTTGGGCTGAAGCCCGACGAATTGGTTCGTCGCCCGGCAACTGGAAGTTTGGCCGTCCAGGCTTCGTGCATCTGCTCGAGGAGGCTGGAGACCTGTGAGGAGGCTGACAGAAGAGACGTGGAAGAGTGGACGTCAGATCGAGGCCAACTGGAGCGACTGGCAAAATGGTATCAATGTGATTCCACGAGAGAGTTTCGCGGTCGTAGATATTCAACTCAACGGAGACGCATCGTTCGAAGAATGAGTCAATGTCGAAGGTTTCTGTACATTTTGTTGAATCGCCCTTTCAAGTACATTCACATTTTGTCGATGTCTGCTCATTCTGAATAGGCACTAGAAACTGGAACTTGTGCTCAGCTCTCGTAGAGCAGTACAACCTTGTTACAACTAACGCAAACTAACGAGATGGGAAAACCTGCCCCAACACTTTT